CTGGAATAAAATCTCTGGATCTTCGTGCATCAGTAGAAAATCGTCTAAATACACGATCACTTTTAGTTGTTTCTCTCTTAGGTGCTGTGCCAACCAATTTGTGATCTTCGCAAATGCTGACGGGGCACTTGCGAGTCCGAATGGAAGACATGTCATATGGAAAAATAACTGATTGTGCTGGAATGTTAAGTACCGTTGGTGTGCTTGAGTGACTGGGATGTGGTAATATGCCTGAGAAATGTCTATCTTCAGCATGTAATCTTTCTCCCACAGGTGATTTGGTATTGAATATAAGTTTGGGAGGTGAAACCTTGGAGTGCTCACGAAATTGTTGAGGTTCTTTAAATTTATTATAATTCTGTAATCTCCATTCGGCTTCTTTCTTAAAAATATTGGAGACACAAATCCTCTTGAGTACCTTAAGGGGATAGCTGCTTTCGATTTCAAGAGTTCCGATATTTGGGTCGATATTACATCTGGATTTTCGTTCGTCACTTTTGCTTGTTTTTCTGTAATTAAAGTCATTAAAGGTGGTTTTTGTAGAAAAGGTATTCTGTAATTTTGAATCATTGATAAAATTGTACGGGGTGCTCCTATACTTTCCCATATATGGGTAAATTGGGCTAGTTGACCCGCTTGAAATGATTCAGAGCTTTTTGGTATGTTGATTGGTCGATCGTTTGTTGGAACTGTTTGAATTATTGTATTGAGGTTTCGTAGTTTTTCTGTTATCTCTACGTGTGTTTCCACGAAATGGCTCTTTGTTGGTGAAGTTCTTTCTGTTGTTGTGGAAATTCCTTGATGATGCGGTTTGCTTATTTTTCGAAGGTTTTCTGGATTTTGCGGGAAACATCTTATGTGGTCCTCCATGATCTTTCACCACTTCGCTGAGTGATTTTTCGGAAAATAAATGAGTATCAGACGGTGGGATGTCATGGAGGATTTCGTTTAGCGCTTTGTTAGAAGCTTTATATAGTTGTCTTCTTTGATGAATTATTTCAGATCTCTTCCCGCATGTATATTGAAGTAGAGCATCTGATGTCTTTTTGAATTTAGATTCAGGACCTAAGAGTTCTTTATTGGCTTGGCTTTTAAGCTCTGGACTAAGATTTTGACAACATTCTTCGAAGTGTTTACGTTGTTGTAGAAGACCATGACTTATAGCTGCCAGTGTACTGTCGATTCGTTCGAGTATAGACACGCTGTGCCAGAAAGGGGTAGCGAGTGCTAAATGGCTGTTAACTTTAAGTGACGTGAATACCGGAGTCGCCTGAAATTGTTTCTGGACATCAGCGTAGCGTATGTTTTTCCATGTATCTTCGTCTAAGCGTTGACATCTTGAGCCTTGTTTTGCAAGTTCTGGATCAGCTTTAGCAATTTTTACTTGAGATTCAACTACTAATGGCGAGAAATCGATATTAGTTTCGGTTGTTTGAGGCTGGGGATTTTCTTTTTGTAGTTCAAGTAGTTTTCGTTGAGCATCTATTATTTGGATTCTAAGAGATTCTTCTTGGCTGATTTGTGCTCCTTTATTTTCATCAGCATCATTAGATTTAATGGGTGTCCAGATATTAGGTGGTGTTGCGTTCGACTCTGCTTCTTCGTCATCTTCATCCTGAAAGTTTTCTGAATAAGTGCTGTCAGCGAATGATACGTTAAGATCCTCTGGGGCACTGTCAGGTGATCTATGTTCTAGCTTCATTTCAATTTTAGACATTTTTTCTTCTTGATTTTGACTTAGTTGTACGATACGTTCAAACATCTTGTTCTGTCGTACTTGTTGTTCTAAAAGAAGTGAGAGTAGGTCTTCGCTTTTTGCTGATAAAGCGGGTAGAGTAGGACAATGCCTCTTTGGAGGATCTGTTTGGGTTGGTGAAGGCGATCGTATTCGTTTTGCACGTGCTTGTGGTGAGATCGAACGTTCTGTGGAGGTGCTTGTTCTTTTGAAGCCCTGGAGGCGCTCGAAGGCACTTTGCCTCGAAAGTATAAGAGGTTTTAATTTTGCAACTGTGTCCATGAAGACGTTGTGAGACTTATAATGGATTTTTTCCATAATATTGTGTGGTGAATATAGTAACGCGCGGCCAAAAGACCAGTTTAAAAGGCGGCGCTTCAAGTCTCTGAATGACCTTTCCGAAGCATTTGGCGAATCAGGGTAGATCGCTTGAATAAGTTCCACTGTAGGTAGCGCAAATCGGATTTTCTTTTCGATTTCTGGTGACATGCTGCCTCCAAAAAGGTTTTCGAATGAGTGATTTTGGATTTCCCATTTTTCCCAACCTGGAGGGTAGTATTTTCGTACGAGCTCTAAGACTGTTTTAAAACGCCGTTCGTCTCCTTCTGGTACAAGACTTGACAATTCGCCCATCGTCATTGTCTTTGAGCAGGAAGCGGTTGCGTCCATATTTCTGCAATGAGATGAATTAAGTCAGAATAGTTCATTGTCTTGTATATGTCGTATCAATGTTATGCGACTTGTGTTGTACCAGCCGGTTGTCGTATGAGACTAGTGTTCAATCAACTACGTTTCGGTGTCGCAGAGGCGGTTGTCGTATCGAAGATGATACGACGTATCGTGTGTCGTATTACGGTCGTATGAAATTAATCGAGTTGATGTTACGTTTGTCTAACGTATCAGTGATACGACGTCGTACCGTGGTACTGCGACGCACGGTATTTGATTTGAGGGTAGTCGTCAACCCACGCACGTGGCATAAGGGCGCACTGCATTTCGTGGCTCAAGGGCGCACTACGACTTTCTGTACGACGGAATACTGTATTATTATAGTTTTTTTTTTTTTTTTAAAACTAATTGTTGAGAATATTACTTACCGAGTGAAAAATATCGGCTTTTGTATACGTGTTGACTTGTCAGAATGCAAAAGCGTACTGACAAATACACCGCCCGCGCTGAATAAGTCCCCTCCATCGGAGTGAAGTTGATACACTTCACACTTGCGACAGAGGGCGCCACTATCAAAAAGAGCTAACTTCACGCTGTTATGACGTCAGAATGTGCATGCGTAGTCTCAAGGTGGATCAAGCCTTTAGGCTCGAACACCTAAATGAATAATTTTAAAAACCTCCAGCATGGTTTCCCGCTCGAGCGACGGATCAACAGGAAATCAAGTATATAGATGGCGCCACTCGAGCAACAAACCAATAGCAGTAGTTGAGGAATCGTTTTCGTACTAATAATAAACTTTTAGCGGAAATGCGACAAATTCTACATAAATTCAAAAATAACAAAAATAGATACAGTCTTAGAAATAATTATACATAATTTGCTAACAACAGAATGAATAATTTTAAAAACCTCCAGCATGGTTTCTCGCTCGAGCGACGGATCAACAGGAAATCAAGTATATAGATGGCGCCACTCGAGCAACAAACCAATAGCAGTAGTTGAGGAATCGTTTTCGTACTAATAATAAACTTTTAGCGGAAATGCGACAAACGCTACATAAATTCAAAAATAACAAAAATAGATACAGTCTTAGAATTAATTATACATAAATTGCTAACAATTCAATGGTGAAATTACCAAAAAACACTGTCCTGACTTGATACTGCTAACATAGACTTCATTTTATTCTTAGTCCTCCTGGCAAGAGCACTGCAATTTGATATGATGAAGCCTTTTATCAACACTCGACTGTCAAAGTCCATTGGAGTTTGACACTCAATGTCGATAAATCGCTTTATCATTTTGACGGTGGAAAGGAATCAAATGAAATGCCACTTTGGTAAAAATAAAATTTATATACAGTTCTATAGAGTTTTGGTTTCTCTATCAATGTCTCTAGGTTAAAAGCCAATTGGAAGCACTTTTTGGTGTTTCATTCAAAGTACAAAAGGGGGTATTTTAAATTACAGGGAGTGTATTTTTCAAGGACCTTTTATGATATATTTTTTTAACAATATCATACAAATTATTTGAAAATATTGTAAGTGCCTATTAAGTTGTTGACCAAATTTATTTTTTCTACGAAAACGGCAGATCATGCAATTTACGCTTCTTAATAAATTTTTGATTTGGCGTTTCAATACTTTTTCCCTAATAAGTTATATCTAGACATATTGTAACATGTTTTGTTCCTTGAAAGTAATGTACAAGTTGTGGTGTTTCAGTTGTTATTCCCAACCTACTTTTAAGATTTTTCTTAATGTATGGCTGTATCAAATAATTTTGCCAGTAGCAAATACAGTAGAATTATCCTAACGCCGATTAACCGAATCGCCAATTATCCGAATCGGTCCTAAGCGTAATATAAAAAATTAAAACCAAGTCATTTTTGTTTTGTTCTAATAAGTTGGAACTCGCTAAAGTCCCAGCGAGTATGTTAAATACCTAAATTAATGGTTGAAAGCTAGAGGCAAGACACTACATGTTTTACTGTTCTTAATTTTGTTTCGCTACTATGTACCTCTATTATTGTATCTAGTATTGTAGAACTGTGTTTGTTAAACGTAATAAAGTTTATTCTATGTGTGGCAGTTCGTTTTTCTTTATTACTTGTCTATGTCCGATTATCCGTATTTTCGATTATCCGAATCGACCCCGGTCCCAATTAATTCGGATAATCGGCGTCCTACTGTAAATTGTTTTTCCTTTCTTGATTTTGAACAATTTTATAAAGTATTAAATTGAAATCCACCTCCTCCACCTCCATGATGTATGATTTTAAAATCATTATTCTGACGTTGCAAACCTGAAAAGGCTGCGAAACGTCAATAAATATATAAAGTTTGTGCATTAATCCGTTAAAACTAGAAAAATAACTACCTACTTTATAGCTTTTGTAATTTCATTAAATGTTTGCTATTGTTACACAGCAGGTGTATTGTATGTGATTAATTATATCTTACTAGCAAACCAGTGAACCAAATGTTCACCAAAAAAAAAAAATGTATTTAATTAATTGAGAACTTCGGAGATTTTGTGTGGTTACAATATAAATTTTATTATAATTAGAAATCCTTTTATTTATACTCTGCAGGAAATTCGATCTTCTCCTAGAAGTGTGCGTTCACGACCAGAACGTCTCCAAAGCGGGTGACGTGTCCTCTTTATGCCCCAATGCTCGCAGTATCGATGTTTCAAGGAATCTATTTTCCAACTGGCGTGAAGTGATACAGTTGGCTACTCAGTTGCCTGACATGAGGGAGTTGGATGTCAGGTAAGCTGATGAAACATTCTGGTTGATTAGAGTTATATGCCATGTAATCACTGAAAAACAATTGTTTATAAGCACTGTTTCATAAACAAAATATAAGTTATAATATTTTTTTAAGCATGTATATGCTTGATGTTTAAATCTAAAGAAAATATAACTAGAAAAAAATCCACGCGGACCAGGCAGCAGACTCGAACCCACACCCTTCGCTATCCGGGCGAATGCACTGACCAATTATGCAACCGCGGCCCTGACGGCCGCGTCGAAATTCTTCTAGTATTTATTTATTTACTTTACAAATATTAAACGTTTGAAAGAAGAAATAGCAATTATAGTCATATTTTTTTAAGCATGTAAATGCTTGATGTTTAAATCTAAAAAAAATATAACTAGAAAAAATTCCACGCGGACCAGGCAGCTTTTTTCAAATGTTTAAAACTTGTAAAAGTATTCATTTGACATTGTGGGTTACGCACAATGCGAAGAGATGGCGCTGCCTTGCCGCTTTAGCATGGCTAGAGGAATTTCGACGCGGCCGTCAGGGCCGCGGTATCATAATTAGTCAGTGTATTCGCCCGGATAGCGAAGGGTGCGGGTTCGAGTCCCGTCTGCTGTCTCGTCCGCGGGGATTTTATTTTCTAGTTACTTATATTTTGTTAATGCACATGCATCTTTAATTTCAGCAAGAACCGTATGGCCATCGACATGCCCGAAGAGACCTTATCCCAGCTCTCCGTTAACTTTGCCAACTTGGAGAAACTCAACATATCCGTGTGTGACTATGAATGGTCAGACATACTGGCGTTATCACATCTCTGGCCGCGAGTGAACGAAATTATAGCAGCATACAACAGAATCAAAACTATCAGCCCACCAATTAACACTTTGAGATCTTTGACAATATTAAGATTGGACGGTAACCCGCTGGATTCATGGTACGAAGTGATGAATCTCGGGAGGTTGAAGAATCTGAAAATCCTCAGTTTGAACGACTGCTTTCTGGAAGAGATACGGTTCAACGACGACCCCCATTGCAAGATTGACTTTTTTGAGAATTTAGAAGTGTTGTTTTTGAATAGGAACAGGATTAAAGATGTGAGTATTTTTTTAGATTTGCATTTGTATTAATTGTTTTTTTTATAGGACTTATATAATGCGATTCAAATAAGAATAGGAAAGCCAAGCCAACCTACATCTGTCAAATGTCGCATGAAAAGTACGGTTTGCAAAAAATCTCAGAACACTGTTTTAGCACTCGGCTAATTCTAGATTAAAAACCAAACATTTTTAAACAAACAATAACAAATATTGATAATTAATATTGGTTGATATTTTTTTTCATTTATTGAGCTTTGGCTATGGATGGTTGATAACCTAAATCGTCAACCAAATGTCACTTTATGTTGCGTTCAGAAACTTGGTTTAAAACTTTCGTTTACATATAGGATGCATGTTCGTATGTGACCTGCATGATTAATCAATGCCCCACTACACAAACATCAACATGCCTACAGTTCAGGTAAATCTACTGAATCGGCTCTCCATCAGTTAGTCGGTAAGATAGAAGAAGCCCTTCAAAATAAACTTATCTGCCTCGGAACCTTCATCGATATAGAGGGTGCTTTCGATAAGACCAACTTCACCAGCATTGAATCTGCCCTCAGGAGACACGGAGTAGAGCAACAAATCATTGACTGGACAGTTAACATGCTTCGCAATAGAATAGTTCGGGTAAAAGGTGATGACAGCAGAGGAGCAGTGGTGGCACGAGGATGTCCGCAAGGAGGGGTCCTCTCGCCACTTCTGTGGAACCTCGTAGTTGACGACCTGCTGACCAAGCTAAACTCGAACCACTACTACACCATAGGGTATGCAGATGACATTACTATACTTACCCTAGGCACCCACGCCAGCATTACCTGTAACACCATGCAAGGTGCTCTGAAAATGATTGAATGCTGGTGCAGGAAATACGACCTCGCAGTTAATCCAACAAAAACAGAGCTGGTAATGTTTACAACCAAACGTGACGTAGGTGCTTTCAACTTGCCGAAGCTGTTTGGTATCACACTACAACTGTCGAAGGAGGTAAAGTATCTAGGCCTTATACTTGACAGTAAGCTAAACTGGAGTAACCATGTGGAACACAAAATCAAGACAGCCAGCGTAACACTTTGGCAATGTCGTCAAATGTTAGGGAAGCGCTGGGGTCTTGCACCAAAACTGTTCCTATGGTTATACTACACAGTCATACGACCAATGGTAAGTTATGGCGCCATCATATGGTGGCCGAGATCTATCCAGACTACTTGTGTCAACAAACTACAAAGCTTCCAGCGGCAGATATGCAGCGCGGTGACCGGGTGCATGAGTACAGCTCCAACCGCAGCACTGGAAGTTATTTTAAACATCACACCGCTCCATATCTACATAAGACAGGAAGCGGCTAAAACAGCGTTGAGACTACAAAAGTTTGGACTGGTAAGGTTCGAAAGAGCAAAGCATCTCAACGGTATACTGAAGGAATGGGTAAACACTCCGCTCATAGATGCTGCATGTGACAAAATAATACCCGCCTTCATATTTGACAAAAAGTATAGAATACATCTACTGGACGACAACGATCCAAAGGTAACACACAAGGCTCTCATGATCTACACCGACGGCTCTAAAACCTCATCGAGCACGGGCGCGGGTGTTTTCTCTGAGGACCTCAACATACACATCGCGTTCCCCTTAAGCCCATACAACACAGTGTTCCAAGCTGAATGTATGGGCATCACACTGGCGGCAACAGCGATCCTTTCAAGAAAGGTAACAGGTCAGGAAATACGAATACTGTCCGACAGTAAATCAGTCCTACAAGCTCTAGATGCCTGCTTAGTCAGATCGAGCCTCCTACAGGAATGCCACCAAACCTTAAACAAGGTAGGGTCAAGCAATTCCATCACCATCCAATGGATCAAGGGACACAGTGGATCACGCGGAAACGACGCTGCGGATGAGCTGGCCCGGAAGGGATCTGACACGACCCCAACAGGTCCTGAACCAATCGTCCCAATACCGGTAAGCTGTCTCGTCAATAAAATCCGCGAGCACACTGCCGAACTACACCAACAATACTGGCTCGACCTGGAGACGTGCAGGCAGACCAAGCTCGCTTTGCCACGGGTGAACGCTGCCTTCTCCAAAACTCTCCTACAGCTAAGCAAACCTACATTGCGCATGGTAACGGGTGCTATCACTGGACATGCACATTTTAACAGACATCTTTTTAACTTAGGTGTCACGGACAGCCCCCTATGCAGAGGATGCATGGAGGCAGAAGAAACAGCTACTCACGTTCTGCTGGAATGCAACGGAGTGGCCGAATACCGGGCGAAATACCTCGGCTCACCGGGAAACCTTCATGAGGCAGTCACCAATGTGAAGGCCCTGGGGGCGTTCCTGGGGGAGCTGGGCTGGCTGGAGTGATTCCGGCCATACACCCTCCTCACGTAAAACAGGCGCCATAAGGACGTCGAGTTGCGGAAACGCCCGTAGCAAGAAGAAGAAGAAGAAGAAGTGACCTGCATGATTATTTAAAACTACTCCGGCGGTAATGCAGAGATGAGCGGAATTGAAGAGCTAGATTCTGACTAATGTTTTTTCTCACTTAATCTTAGTAAATAAGTTTAATTAAATAGAAACTTTTTTTGCTCATTCTACCTATTTGGTTTGAATTGACAGCAATGACGTCAAAATATGGCGTCCAGCCGGTCCTATTCTTAGTTGAATCGCATTATACACTTGCGCAGTAGACGTTTTTGTATGTAAAATTTTGTTGTTATTGCGTAGAATTTCTTGTCTATGGTCATGGCTCAAAAAGTTTCATCATCATCAGCCTATTAATGTCCCCACTGCTGGGGCACAGGCCTTCCCTATGGATGAAATAGGGAGTTTGCCAGGGTGCATATACTTATTCTGAATTTTAAAGCAGTTACTGTATCCTCTGGCAATGGAGATGAAATTTTGCATAGAAGCTTAGTTTGGATAACAATGCATGGTCAGTTAAGTGACAATACATCATTCTTCATTTAAAGTTTTTCTAGTAAAAAAATTAACTTTAGATTTAAACACATTGCCATCGTCCTAAAATTTTACGAGCTTGCAATTCGGACTGCCATAACTGTTTGACAGATGCGTTTAAATTAAGACTTTATCCAATATGCATTAATGGTGGCTTTGAATGTTCAAATAATGCCTTATATTATTTTTGTGTACGCGATCATCTTACAGAGCTCCGTGGATCGTTCAATGTACCTTTTGGACAGGTTTCGGCCACGATTTTGTTTGTGAGGTTGCATTCATCTAGGGTATTAAATATCGTTGAATGCTTTGCCCTAACCGGGTTTGTATAAGGATCTAAATCAATGCTTTGTAACACCTGTACACCTACATAAAAATGCAATAAATATTATTCCATATTTTTATTTAAATGTATGTAATAGGGATGATGACAATTTTTTTTTCTTCGTTTATCAGGTAGATTATCAAAAAGTATTGGACACGTATTTCTTCTTTTTTCACATAATATAAAATTGGCAGATATATATTGATTTGAAAAGTCGCATGACGGCACGTTTTGGTACAATTTTCACTTAAAAGTGACGTCACGAGCCCCTACTCCCAAACTTTGACGCGCTATGACTTTGTCATTTTTTGGTTGATTGCCCAAAGAAAAAATACGTGTCCATTATGTTTTGATCATTGAACTGACGGACTAAATAGAATTTCGTTACTATACCCCGTCATCACCCCTTTTGTAATATTGTCATGTATTAATTTGTTTAATTTTATTTGCAGTGGCGATCTATAAGCGAACTGGACAAACTAAAGAATCTGAAGAAATTGTATTTCCTGAAAAACCCCATACAGAACACTGAAGACTACGACACCGGCTCACAACTGATCATAGCTAAAATAGGAACACTGCAAGTAAGTTTATGAAAACATATTATGTCTGTCTGAGGAGCTCGATGGCGCAGGTGGTTAGCGCGTTCGGCTGCGATCGTTGAAGTTAAGCTACTTTCCCAGTGGTCGGTTTTTGGATGGGTGACCATAAATTTTCTATCCCGAATTTCTCCGTGCTTCGGAAGGTACGTTAAGCCGTTGGTCCCGGCTGCATCTGCAGTCGTTGACACCCATCAATCCGCACTTAGGGACACGAAAAAAGTATCGATACTTTGTGGTATCGAGTACTTTTCCTTTCGATACCGATACTTTTGTACTCGATACTTTGTATTCGATACTTTTACTAAATGAGTACTTTTTGGCAAGTATCGATTCCTTTAAAAATTTGGATAAGCGCCTCATATTGATGGCAATGCCATCTTGTTAAATCATAGCAAACCTTCTAAAACGTTCCATAGGGTATTTGACAAGTTTTAGGCAACGATCTCACGTTATTGACTAATGTTTATGGGAGTCCGTAAAAAGTGGATATTCATCATTCTGTTGTGTATTTCAGTAAAAATAACCAAATCAAAAACTCCATTTTCAAGTTGCCGCGAAAATGTTTCTCTGGACAATATGGCGTTTTACTAGTGTGTGACGTCACACGACTGTTATTAAAACGTCAAACGATAAAATGTAATGTCACTTTGACCGAAAGTTTACTTGCGTGTGACGTCATTTTAGGCTCCGCCAATCCGTTTTGGGTTACGTGACAATAGATAAGAAAACTTATATCTTTTTGGCACTTTATTTTTAATACTGTCAAATGCCCTATTGCGTTGTTATAAAGTCACTATAAAGTAACTGACATATTCAAATTCTTTCCAATCTGTGACTGTGTTTATTTTGCGCTTTGTATTGTTTCATAGTTATTTATTAAACGACTATATTGTTAGGAACTGTGATTGATTCGCCGTTTATTGTGCTTTTCGCTTGACTGTATTTGATTTATTCAAGTGTAACACTATTATTCTGTCTGTGCTGTGTATACCTATTTGAAACCACCTGAAAAATTCGATTGTTTTTATTTCAATTTTAACACCGGGGGGGGGGGGGGGGGGGTTCCTCGTCAGGCAACAGAGGGTCCGATAAGGCCCTATGAAATGTACTCGATACTTTGAAGTATCGATACTTTTGTTTCGATACTTTTACGAGTACGATACTTTTTTACCGATACTACTCATGAGTACAGTATCGATACTTTCTATTCGATATCGTGTCCCTATCCGCACTGGGCCCGCGTGGTGGGTCATGGCCCAATCTCCCTATTCCATTCATAGGGAAGGCCTGTGCCCCAGCAGTGGGGACATTAATTCATGATGATGATGATGACGGGGTAAAGTAAACAAAGTTCCATTTAATCCGTCGTCAGTTAGTTTTTCAAAAACGAATGGACACTTATTTTTGAAGTGAAACCTTTTTATCGGACGGGGTGTAAATGGAAAAATCCTATGGAAAAAATCTAACGGAAGTCACACGACTATGTAAACGCTACGAGCGTCACACGCGACAATATACTCGTATATATGTGATACGTGTGCTGCTCCATTGCCCTATGCCTTATGCACCGCCTAAAGCTAGGTTATTAAAGAGCCCTTTCACATTTATTGAAAAAAAAAACATTTTTGAGCGCCTCGTTTACCCCCTTAGATAAGATTTTGACTATTTCCAATAAAAGTAAACAGTAGATTTATTCTTCCTATTGTAAGTTAATGTAGAATATTTGCAAATACTTTTTTCCTTTTTTTGTACTGCTCGTTCTACCGCAGCTAGTTTACGGAAAAAACGATAATATGCATGCACAACTTCAAACGCCTCAATCTCTCTCAATAATGTTCAAAAAATTAGATCAAATTAATTACTACGACATCAGAAATATGTTTTTGTTGTAACATAATGTATTAGAATTTTGATTTTCCATCTCATTAATTATCAAAAAAAAACATCTAACCTCCGTGAGTTTTCCCAAAAAATAATTGCAGGTTTACCTCGTATTTTGATATTAAATTAAATAGAATTACTATCAAAAACTTTCATAAAACTAATCTACCATCATTGAACTACTGAAATATATATATATATTTCATAATTAGTTCATTAATAATTACTTTATAAGACTCTGAACATCACGCGTAAAATGCAATATATACTAGTGCAAATCTACCTACGCGCCGATCAGTACGGCAGCGGCGCAATTTAGTAAAGTGGCTCTTAAGAAAAGAAGTTATACTTCAAAAATTAAATATATAATAATAATAAACACTTTATTTTTCACATATAATAGGACATAGGTACAAAGAATACATTAATAACAATAATATGGGCAAAGGCGGTCTTATCGCTACAAGCGATCTCTTCCAGAAAACCTTCGCGGTATAGGTAAGCTAAACGGAAAAGAAGATGTAGTAAGCCAGCAGAGTCGATGAGATATGTAATTAATATAATATACGTACATATAAGAAATTGTCTATCATACATTTACATATACATACATACCACATATAAATATATATAATTGAACATAAATATATACCCACATACTAACAACATATGTAATGTTAAAGTAGACATAGTAAATATATGTGTCCAAATTCCAATATAAATAAATAAAGACTTTGAATAAGTACTTTTGGATAATCAACCTGATATACGCAGAAACACCTTATTTTTAATTTCTAATAATTTATTTGTAGGAATTGAACGGATCCACGATAACCAGAGAGGTACGCTGCGGTGCAGAATACGACTATATGAAGAGATACGGCGCCGAATGGAAACTGGCCCAATCGGACCCAGACAGGAAACACGCCTTCATGTTAGAACATTGTAGATTCGACCAGCTTATCAACAGTAAGTTTTACAAATTCACGTTAGACTACATAACTCTCGAGGGGAGCTCGATTTACGTTATAGTTAGACTACTCAATCGAGAAGCTCGATCGTTGAAGTTAAGCAACTTTCGCAGTGGTTGGTCATTGGATGGGTGACCAAAAATCTGACTTCTATCTTGAGTTCCTCCGTGCTTCGGAAGTCATGTTAAGCCGTTGGTCCCGGCTGCATCTGCAGTCGTTAGCGCCCAACAATCCGCACTGATCCCGTGTGGTGGGTGACGGCCTAATCTCCGTATTCCATCCATAGGAAAGCCCTGTGCCCCAGTAGTGGGGACATTAATAGGCCGATGATGATGACTCAACCCCAACTCAACTTAACGTAGGTCAACGTCGAGAAGCATTACTACAAAGTAAGTAAAGAATTAATGGTCCTACGAGCTGGATAATATACTACATATTATATATATCCGGCTCGAAGGACCAGTAGTTCTTTACTTACTTTCGTCATCTTGGAATGCTAGTTCGGCAAGCTCATAAACTTTGTGTATTATCCGGCTCAAAAGACCACAACAACTTTACATCCTTCTTTCATACTAGATCATTGCCGATTAGACCAGCTTATCAATATCGATCTACATAATATCCGAGATCGTTTTGTCTTTGTGTAGAAAACGTTTTTTTATTATATTAAATTTACACATTTTTGACATGTGGCTTTCGTTTTTATCACAGAATACGGACTCCCCGACGACAGCCTGCTCGAGAAAAAACCCAAAAAACAGACACTCACATCTCAACTGCTCGAAATAACATTGCGGGACGAAAACGGAAAGTCGTTCAAGAAGAAATTCCCATCCACAATGGCAGTACAGAAACTGGTCACACTGGCGCAAAGACTTTTCTCCAGACCTGGCAACATTGGCTCACCGGAATTACACCTTTTAGACGAGCAAATGAAAGGCGCGGAAATCCTCCTCGACAATGTTATGAAAGACCTGGCATACTTCTCTGTCAAATCTGGCGATACCATAATTGTGCGTTTCAGATAGGAAACCTTTAAAAGTTCAAATTGCAATTGTAAAGATTTTATTAATAAATCTATTTATTGGTTAGCATTACACTTTATTTGTGGTTGTTAGGAATGTGCGGTGCTATTCTCTGCGATGTTGAGACGATGAAAATCAACGTCTAATAAAGCTTATGATTTCTTTTTAAAGCGACACCTTGCAGTCGATGTTGAAAACTATAGTTCTACACTTTATAAATGCTTGCTTGATTTTTAAAAATAAAACTCATCGCTTTCTCGTGATCCAGTCTGCAAAATGACACATTCCTTCTTACTCTTTCGTTAAAAATATGATGAACACGTAAAAATTAACGCGCTTCACGAGTTTTCTGAACGCTGGAACTATTGAGCGCATGATTTCAGTTGGTTTTTTGCAAAATTGATTTTGTTTATCTGTGAAAACTTGCATAATATAGTGTCAGAATATAATATTGACGACGAATATAGCTTTGGTATTGTTAATTGATATAACGGGCTCACAATGTGCCATTGCTGGAATTGCTTGATCAATATTATTATTAAAAAAAAACGCTGATAGTATTTCACAAACATATTCCTAACCGTTATCACAAAATAACTGAACCAGCATGCTGGTGTTGCCATCAATCAACTTTTATATTTCTATTATTAGAGAATAGCATCGTAAAAAACTAAAACTTGCTTTTTAACAGCTAATAAAATAAGGAAAAAAAAACAATGTTAATTTTTTATAGAATTTTTAATTGAATTACTTTTGCTTTGTCTAGTTTGCCATATTTAAAAAAACTGCAATAAAGTTAAAAAAAGAACCCATATGGCACACGATCATCAGATATAAATCAATTGGTGATGCCGGCACTTAATTGGGTATTCGTGTTTGCTATTTGCAAACTTGATATCAGTCTATCCTTCTCATTCTTAGTAAAGAATGAAAAGGACAGACTGAAAGTTGACTGTTTAAAAAAAATAGCCAAGTGAAGTGCCAGCATAACTTAAGCAGAATTATTTTGTTATGCTGTAACAGTAAAATGTGATAAAAAAAAGCTATATTTATTCAGAAAAAGTCAATAAATTAAAATTTATTTATTTATGTTATTTCTTGTAATTTACTCACTATAATGTTATAAATAATTAAATTCCTAATGACCATAAGAGCGACATTGTAATTGAATTAACTTACATCTTGAGCTTTTGAAACAAAGTTACTGGCGTCAAATTCGTACCTGTATTTATTGCGAATATTATTTTCAAAATAAAAGTCCACTATGTATTTTTATTTCTTCGTTTTATTCAGATCAGTAGCAAAGTTTTACATACAATCAGGAATATATTTATTATGTTGGCATTACATTATCATCTGAAATGAAAACTTACTTTGATAGAATGCCTAGGTAAGTATACATATAATTTATATGTTGGTTTCTTAGGTTTTCATGCACACCACTCATCAAATAAAACAAGTATCCTGAAAAAGATGCGAAACATCAATAAATAAATAAATCAGTGCATCTATACCGTTGAAACTTGACTTATTTATAAACATAATTAGTTATTGAGACTACATAAAATTATTCCGACAGGGAATCGAATCAGGACAATCAGCTGCAAGGCAGCGCCATCTCTTCGCATTGTAGGTAACCCACAATGTCAAATGAATACTTCAAGTATTATACATTTGAAAGAAGAAATAGCAATAATAGTTATGATTTTATTTATTTTTTAAGTATTTAACTGCTAGATGTTTAAATTATGCAGCTTACAGCTAGGAAAATTTCGACGCGGCGAATAGGGCCGTGGTAGCATAATGGTCAGTGCATTCGCCCGGATAGCGAAGGATGCGGGTTCGAATCCCGTCCGCTGCCTGGTCCGCGTGGATTTTTTTCTAGTAAACTTTTCTTTAGATTTAAACATCTAGCAGTTAAATGCTTAAAAAATAAATAAAATCATAACAGGTAAAGTTTTCGTTCTCGATAATGGAGAAAGATGTTTTTTTATTCAATAATAATCTTTTGTATATTATATAGGCAACTGTTACCGACTAATCTATCAATGCACAACTCAAACCATTGAATATGTTGCTATTATGATGTTTGCGTGCGCTAAGAAAGGATTTTCCAAAACTCACCCCCTTAAGGAGTAAAACGGGAGTTCAAAGTTAGTATGTAACACCAATATTTCCGACGAAGTCGCTGGCACGCATTAGTACCTATCTAATAAAATCCCTGTTAATAATAATTATGAGAGTGGTGTACGTGTCCGTTATAAATTATTTGTTAGATTAACAAAGTTATAAAGGCTTACTCTCTAGAGTAGACAAATAAAAACCATCTGTAACCTTGGTTTCCATGTGACATTCAACCACTTTGTAGTACAAAGTTTGTACTTTGTTATATACCTAATATATTTAATCGATGTGATTATGTAGTAGGTAGTGAAAAACAATTTATTGAAAATAAAATTATTGTAAACATAAAATATTTAGTGATTTTGAACGAACGAATAAAGCTTTTCCCGCGTAAACGATAAAAGATGGCGCTGTTTGTTTGTGTGACGTCTGAAAAAAGTAGGTAGGTCGTAATAATAAAATGACGGTCTGATTGGAAAAAGGAATTTATTAAGCACTCATTGTGGGCCAATGCATTTGTAAAAAATAGTTCGAATTCCAACGACAACGGAACGTTTCGTGAATAATACTGGCCACATCGCCATTGGTAACCGTTGTGTCAACAAATATTTTTTTTTTGTTTACGAACGTCGTCGGTCGCCGTGCGAGAAATTCAAAGTTGATCACCGGAATTTAATGTGTCGTGAAAAGTGTTTATTTGTTAATTCTGTTCGTGAATTAGTGTTACGTGATGGGGAATTGTTGGGGCGGCGTATTCCACAGACGCAGGACACGTCGTCACATAGTTTTGATTTTGATCGGTTTAGACAACGCTGGTAAAACGAAGACAGTTAATAATTTAGCAGGAGAAGTGGACGACACAGTTTTGCCCACTGTTGGGTTCAAAGCTGTGAATCTGGTGCACAAAGATACCCCAGTCACGATATACGATTTGGGTGGCGGGCCCCATTTTCGACAAATATGGTCACAATATTACAGCGAGGTGCACGGAATTATATTCGTTATCGATTCCAGCGATTTTTCACGGCTCGACGAGTGCAGAATTGTTTTAGAAGAGGTCTTATCACATGATAAAATTGCAGGTAATTTTTTCGTTATAATATATTTTTGTCATAGCAACTTAATTCGGCATTGATTACCACTCTGGTAATAATTAATTACTGCTTATCTCGAAACTAGAATAACCTTTAATTTTACCGCCCTACCATCTGAGTACCTACTCAATAACTAGATTTCATGTTTAGATTTTATTTTCACCGCTCGCGTGCAGTTTAATCAAACTCAGTAGGTAGGTATGCAAAGCACGTAGGTACTTCGGACTTATAACTGTTGAAACTTAAGATCGGATGATATAGAGATGGTGGTTTACCGAATAATTATATGGTAGAGGAGCAAATCAAATCAAAATATGACCTATATTTTTTTTAGTGACGAACGCCTTAATATGGCTGCTCTTTCGCAGCAGCCCGCATCTGCCCCTCGCTGCCCCATGTTTCTGACCGCCACATGACCTAGTCGCCAGAGACGACCTCGACCTCAGTAACTCCGTCCCATGACCCCCGATTCTACCTGCCCCTTCCCCCATTTATCTATTTTCTACTAGGGCGATTTTAGCTTGCGCAAACCTTGCGTCACTGACCCAGCCTGCCGCCCGGGCCTTTGCCTTTTTTGCCCTAGGGTAAATAATCCCCCTTGGTATTCAGTGTGCCAGGTACCTATCGACAAAAGCCCTCGATAGTGTTAAGAGAGGTAACCAGAGTCGGCGAAAGTCGATCTTAAATGGTTTATATTTAGATTTATCCATTTGTAAGAAAAGTCAACATAAGGTGTTACATTACTTAAGCACACTTTGGGAAGAAACTGGCAATTGATTGGTTGGTCTTGGTCTCTTCTCTATCTTCACGACGTGTCCCGGGTGGAGTAGGCAGAGAGAATAGAGCGTCATCAGTACACATTATCTTTCGCTTCATTCACATTCATTACTCTTTTCATACACGCCCGCCGGTTTTTGCGGCTTGTGACGTCCTTCCGACCTTCGGAATGCGATCAATTCGATCGTGCTAAGTGAGTCATTGGGTTCACAATTCACGGAAATTTTATTTCTCACTGAATTTTGTTTTCGCTTTCGGTTACTAGGACTCCTCCCAACTCCCCCCGCCCACCTGCTCAGCCAGCCCAAGGACTGACTCATTAGGGCATAGCTGATTTTCCGCACGAATTGAAACGCCAGAAGTTTACAGCAAAACAAAAGCTTTTTCTGGTGCTGTGCTTCTGTCGGTGAGTAAGTCCTGGGGTTCCACCCCCTGGTGGCCATTCGCCGAATGGAAATGCTTTGAAAAACGCTAACGCTTATTTCTAGCCGCCTGAGGTTTTCAAAAGCCTCGCGCTCTTTTTTTTCTTTAGCATTGGTAATAACAATATTAATAAAAATGAGCGTGAGGTATTTGGAAGCCTTCGGCGGTCAGAAATAACAAAATAAAATCGAAAGCGTTAGCGTTTTCCACAGCATTTCCGGTAGGCGAATGGCCCCCAGGTAGGGGATTGGTTTAGGGTAGGCAACGGCGCGTGTGATACTTTAGTATCTCAAGCGTCTATAGGATATGATGACCGCTTACCATCAGGCGGACCATATGCTTGTTTTTGCCACGCTTTTAACATTAATAAAACGGCTGCTAGATGGAAGGAACACTGAAAACCAGACCATGTCTTTCACCTCATGCGGCCTCATGCTAAGATGCAAGATTGCGAATCTTGCTTCATATCAGTAATCAAGTGGCTATTACGCCGGTTTTAATGGTCATCATCTCTGAAGTCCGCGTTCCATAATTCGTCCCTTATTTAAACTTTCAACCTCAAGGTCCTCTCTTATCACTCTCCATTTAAATCATAATATCAAAATGGGTTCAGCGAAAAACGTTAAAGTCTGCACAGACGAAGTACTTTTGTCCGCGGACTGCAAAAGTCCATGAACTGTGAAAAAAATAACCGCCTAGGACTTATCACGAGCTCAACGCACACGAAGTGCGAACATTTGTCCCCCGAAAATTTTGAAAAGTGCATGCTATGAAAGTAAATATTCTCAGATTACGTTGTGTGTACGACGCCACAAAGGCCCACCTGTTTAGAGACTTTGCTGTGGTTGTTGAGCATTGTGGTTGGATCTTCCAAAAACAATTGTAAAACCTGCCGCAGCATGTAGATGTGATCCATAGTGTTAAAATTTTTCGGAATTTGGCTTATTCTGTAGGCTGAAAGCTTAGATTAATGTTTTAATCTAAGGCTGAAAGTCATCGAACCACATACTTAAATCCAAGTAGATGAAGCAAGTGGTTCAACTTGTATGAAAACAGAGCGTGGACCTGGACCCGGCTACCCATTTCAGTTCTATATTTTTTAAAACTTAATTTTGGACAATTAGGCGATTTTTATATATTTGCTATTGACGTCCAGTGCTGAGAACGGTGACACGAAGAAATAAAATAGCGTTAAAGGAGGACGGACTTTTGGTCACCCTGTTGACATGTTTTTGGCACGCGAAGTACATACACTTGCGGTATGACTATGACTATCGAAACTAACTTGAAAATATGGGTCAGCGGAATTCTAATTAGTATTATTGATATCTCTATCATTGACTGAAATATGTGAAACAACATCCTGTTTACATTACTTGTTTTATCTACCAATACCGAAAAAAGAGGATTTACAAAATCCTTTCGGTATTCCATGCTCTCGTTCATTTGCTTTGCTTAGCTAGTTCGTTACGCTCTCTATTGGCCCGCGCTTTTCCTGGCACTTCTCCGCGGACAAGTTTTTAACATATTCGCGCAATACACCACTTTCGTCATTTGCCACTTTCGTCGAATGCTTTGATTCATAATCTCTGATTTGCATCTGATCTGATATCATTAAATATACAAGTGATATTGTGCACCTATTATTAGTATGAGTTATTCTACAGGTAAACCGGTGTTGGTGTTGGCAAACAAACAAGACAAAACTGGTGCTTTGGATGACATCGATGTTGTGGAGAAGCTTAACATAGAACCATTGGTTAATAAGTAAGTGGTATAGTAAAGTCATATAGTAGATGCGACAATAGGTATATTCACTTGTTATAGGCATTTTATACAATAAACTATACTGATTGAGATAATCAAATCTCAAAACTTTTCAAATATAAATTCTACAAGTTTGAAATTTAGAATCGAAAATTATCATAGCTAAAGAAAGTACTAGCAAGGGTGGTTATTACAACCATATTTTACAATTCCACATCATAATTTGCTATATTATCGAGTACTTTTCTAATTTTTAGATACAGATGCCCCACCCTAGTAGAATCTTACACTGCCCAAGTCACAAATAAGTCCAAGAAACCAAAGATCGACCCGGGCTTACGCAAGGGTTACCAATGGTTACTAAACTATATAGTCAAACGGTACGGTGACATAAACTTGCGCGTGCAAACAGACATACATGCCGACTTAGAAAGACGCAAAAGGATGATGAACAAAGCTTCAAACAGGGCATCTCAGACTTTTACGGCTGTCAGCGATGATATAGCAACTCAAACAGGCTTTGAAAACCCCAATTTCGACCCTAAAGCCCTCGCAACAGACAGGGAAAGGGAGAAGAACTTAGAACGCGGTGTTATTGTAGTTAAACCTATAACGACGAGCGTGGACACTACAATGACTGTGGATAGCGTTGATAGTGACAATACAAGTGCCAAACCCAAGCTCTCCCCGTTATTCGGCAGAGCTAGTGACAGTTCAGGACTCACTGAAACAGTAAAAGTGGAGTTGGAATCGAGGAGTGAGTTTAGAAAGTTGTCGCCTATTGTCAGACTCAAGAATGGGAATCAACATAATCATATAGATTTCGTTAATCGACCGCAGTCTAGCCCTAGTTTCAAGAAACATAACAAGGTAAGTTTATCATTATCAGCCTCATATTGTCCCCACTGCAGAAGCACAGGCTTTTGCTATGGATGGAATAGGGAGATTGGAACATGACCCATCACGCAGGCCCAGTGCGGTTTGGTAGGTGCTAATGACTGCAGATGCAACCAGGACCAACGGCTTTATGTGCCTTCCGAAGCACGTAGGAGTTCGAGATAGTGAATATTTGGTCACCCATGTAATGACCGATCACTGCGAAAGTTGCATATATTCAACGATTGCAGCCGAACGCGGTAACCATTTGCGCCATCATAAGGTAAGTTACATAGTTATTTTTAGAGACTTACGTCCACTTTTCATCATCAATTTCCAATATCTAAGCTACTCACCAGAACACAGAGAGGTTAGAAGGGCCTTGCGGGTGGTACAGGCGCGCCGCAGTTATGTGTGAACAAATACTCATAACTTGACCAAAACTTGGTCCTGATTGCGTCATTGCTCTGGGGTGTGAGCGCTGATTGGTTCGATTGTTTAATGTCGCGTCGTTTGATTGGCTATTATCTATTAGGGGGAAATGTACTGGGGTCGAGCCGGCGACATGCGGTTCCCGTACAAACGCTAAACGGTCTATTATTACCTTTCTAACCTCTCGCACTTTCTGTGTTCTGTGACTAACTCCATAGAAATTCATCCCCTATTCCTTCAACTTCTAATTTGGCTATGATTTTATTTATTTTTTAAGCATTTAACTGCTAGATGTTTAAATCTAAAGAAAAGTTTACTAGAAAAAAATCCACGCGGACCAGGCAGCGGACGGGACACGAACCCGCATCCTTCGCTATCCGGGCGAATGCACTGACCATTATGCTACCACGGCCCTATTAGCCGCGTCGAAATTTTCCTAGCCTTAAGCTGCAAGGCAGCGCCATCTCTTCGCATTGTAGGTAACCCACAATGTCAAATGAATACTTTTTCAAGTATTAAACATTTGAAAGAAGAAATAGCAATTATAGTTATGATTTTATTTATTTTTTAAGCATTTAACTGCTAGATGTTTAAATCTAAAGAAAAGTTTACTAGAAAAAAATCCACGCGGACCAGGCAGCGGACGGGACGGTCCCGTCCGCTGCCTGGTCCGCGTGGTTTTTTTTTTCTAGTAAACTTTTCTTTAGATTCTAATTTGGCTGTTACAGAACTATAAGGTTCTGTTCAAACTCGAAATATTTTACTCAGTCTAGTCTGTTACATGGTCTTATGAACATCAAAAACTATGCCATCGGTTCGTAAGTCTACGGCGGGAGACCTTGTACTGAGAAGAACCGACAAGAAATTCAGCAAGGGTGGTTATTTGTTAGAATGATTTAAGAAAGATGATTATGTGAATGTAGTGAATGTGGTGATATTCACTTTGACAACTTATGGAAGGGTAAAAACACATTGCACCGACTCCAAATTAAAATTTGAATTTTAACGTTGCTCTCATAGACTGATTCGAGCAAAAACTCTTTGCTTCATGACGATGATGTGAAAGAAGTCCGCGAGTACTCGCAATACGGCGACGGGAGTCAAACCTGGGACGGCAGCTCTAGAGAGAGGAAGCACCGTGTCTTAGTCAACGACATTGAGTTATCACACATGCACAGAGAAATCGTGCTCACAGAACGGGGTAAGTTATGAGCAGATATAACTTAAGCCTTTAAACACCCGAATTTACTGTCTCTGACTAACTTTTCGTCCTCACAGTTGTCTGGAAGAAAGCGCTCTTAGCGATATGACCGTAAACTGTAACGCTTAAGTTGAATTGAATGTTACATTTTACTGTTACTGATGTAGTGTAAAATATTCGTGATTATTGAAAAGTCCAAAGTATCTTCATTGAGTTGCATAAACGTAACGACTCTTTTAATAAATCCGATAGCTTATAAAAAAAAAACCAGACAGTAGTCGCGCATGATGTGTAACATTTGAAACCTCGCCTTATATTGGTAAAAAAATAAATAAAACCTACTTACTACAAAATGAATAAGCCATTTGAACATTATGTTCTATAATCAAATCAAATAGCGCGCGCTTTTGCGACTTCCTGTTACACACTTCCGTCCCATTTCACGAAATCACTCCCACAATTTCCAGGAAAGCGAGAGGAAAGATTTTACACATCAAACATTGTACCTACATAGTCTGTTGCTCGATAACTTGACAATCTTGTGTTAACACTTTGAACAAGATATAAAGCGCGATTTGTTTCCCCCGATTCTTAACGTTGCTTATTCTTTACGGGCTCCGTTTATAACTGGTACAAGTTAATACCCTTTAAAAAGTGTTTTATTAACTTTTTCATGTTTAGAAAATATTTAGAAATGAAAATTGACAGAATAGAATAAATAAAATGACATAAGTACCTATAAATTTACAATTAAATTATATTTGACATTCACATGCCCTGTCGTTGGCAAAATGAACGAAGTAAATGAAAATCACCACCAAATTGTATTTACTCTGTTTTGTGTGAATAAATAAATTTCATTTCATTTCAACTGATTGGTCTATTGGAATCAGATTTCGCAAGCAAGACAGCGTCTTCAGAGGTGATATTGCAAGCTTCTACGCTGCCTTTGAGCGCGCGGCCAGCGTCTGCATCCCAACTGGTGCGGCGACAATTGGAGATATCCGCTCAGCATAAGAGGAGGCTGAGTTTGAGATGTAAGTATAGTTATGTATATTTTAGCATTTAACTGGTAAAAATTCAAATCTTAATGCTCCTATTAGACTCCCAATTTAAGGGACCTTTACCCTGACTAACTAAGGGTGGTGGAATATGAGATTAAATCAAATCATTTTTATTGCGAATATAGGTTATTGTTGTGTACAAACATACAAATTGTATTTAGTTCAGCCATATTCATATGAGTTAGCGAGTAAGAGACCCGTACCCCTAGCACGAACCATTATTGAATTCGAATAGTTTGCAAACCGAAATGTCAATGTCAAATTTTGTATGGAAACTTGAACAGCAGCGGCACAAAGTACGTAACGAGAACTAAAAATCAGTACACATTTGACAATGACATTTCGGACTCGCAAACGATACGAATTCGATATTGTGTCCATAATTAAGGAGCTGGCTAAAAAAACGGTATAATTACGCATCTGGTCAAACTACTTTTTTTTTACAGTCCGGAGGTTTCGGGCCCGTTGAATTTGAATCTCAAATAATTTTCAATCAAAACCACCTAAAACAGTGTTAAAATTACTTAATTTATAAATTATAAACCATGCCAAAAGCTCACTGTAGGTGTGTCATTCAGCTTTACACAGCTCCTGCACATTTTAAGTTTATGTAATTATACCGTTTACCCTACGTAGTGTAGGACATCCTCAGGCACGATGGAGTGACGATTTGCGCAAGGTGGCTGGCCGGAGCTGGATGCGAGTAGCCCAAGATCGATCTGAGTGGCGTGCAATTGGAGAGGCCTATCTCCAGCAGTGGACTAGGATGATGATGAATTATACCGTTTTGTTCGCCAGTTCTTCAATTAATAGTTTTACACCCTACATTGATTTATATGAACTTTTACCCTTCCCTAGACCATCGGATGTACATAGGATTGCCAGATAGCTGGGAAATCCGGGATTGTCCCGGAATTTTGCGTCTTGTCCCGTGTCCAGTAATTAAACCTTATTGTCCCGGATTCCGATAATGTGTTAGTTTCGTAACAAAATAAACTAATAACGAATGACATCGATGGCCTGCTTAATGTTTTAATTCTAGGGGGTGATGTAGGGTTTGATTTGATGGTTTATTTTTTCAGAGGGGGGGTGCAAATGTCTCGGAATTGACAAGCCAGCATCTGGCAACCCTAGATGTTTAAGATAAACTTAGGAGTTTTAGCAGGATTTCATGATGATGATGTTCATAGTGGATATTGTGAAATAAAATTGGTGTGATTTTGTGTTACAACCGTCTGTGCAACTGAAGAATTAGTGGAATCTTTAAAATATACGCTATTCCGGTCAAGTGGACGTGAAAACTTTATTGTAGTATTGACTATCTCACAGAAGCTTATCGAAAAAGCCAACTCGATATATTTCGTGCCAAATACTCCAAGAAACATTAGAATGCGTCACACCGTCATTCTAATGTAAAAAAAAAGGAAGATTAATACAAAATAAGACGATGGCTGCATGACTTTGCCTTTGCCTTTCTCAATAGAGAAGAATAGCACTAAAAAAAAATGATGAACTTAAACCCCCCTCCCCCGCCCCACTAGGCCATAGGCTAGCGATGTCTTTGAGTTATAATAACACAGTGAACTTTAAAGCAAGAGTGAATAGGTATTTTACTCGCATGCTCCAACTAAGACCACACTCAAATTTCAATAAAAAACGTTGCCACAAACCTCTTTATTTTTAACCAAGCGCTTATATACTAGAAGGCTAGGGAAAGCTAGGGTAAAGGCGCGATTACACTTGGTCGGAAGCCCGAATACGCGTGCCAATGGAATTCGGGTAAACGACTAAGTCGGAATTCGGGTAAATAAACGGAGTCGAGTACGACCGTATTTGGATAGACTTTGTTTTGTTTACCCGACACCGTCTTCCAGCCCGCATTCCAGTGTAAATATATCTTCGGGTGCCCGAATTCGAGTAATGTCTTTCGTGCTCCAGAATACGGGCAAACGGCCAAATGTAATTGCGCCATAATCATTGAACAAGGGCTAGAGACGCCTCTGTATGTATTGCTGTTTCCGCTGTACAAATAACGAACAGTACCCTTAGCACGAACCAATATCGAATTCGTAACGTTTGAGAGTCCGAAATGTCATTGTCAAATGTGTACTGATTTTTAGTTCTCGTTACGTACTTTGTGGCGATGCTGTTCAAGTTTTCATACAAAATTAGACTTTGACATTTAGCACTCGCAAACTATTCCAATTCGATAATGGTTCGTGCTAAGGGGTACAGAAACGGAAAGGGTATTTACTCGTAACTGATAAATACATACACGTTTTTCATCAGATCTTCATACTTACTCTCATTTCCAGATATGCATCGCAACAAGACGAGTCCGGAACGTATGTCGATGCTAATATACGAACCGAAGGCTCCCCAGCGACATCTAGACAAAGGAGACTTTGAACATACCGCTGTCAATTAGTACAGGTAAGTAGGTTGACTATGACCAAATGTACTGTGTTTAATAGAGATGGAACATTTTTTCAGGAACAGTCAGAAATCATATTTTTTTTATCGCGAGAACCTGAATCAGGGTAACTTGATGGTTGTAGCTAAACCTTCGCGAAAACTGCGGTACTTCGTGAGATGGTATTTGAAAAGTGTTAGAAAACGATCTCAAATTATTTACTAATATTTATTGAGTATAAAAAGTACTATTGACTATTAGGACTACTTGGATATTCATCATTCTGTTGTGTATTTCAGTAAATAAAAACTATATCAAAAAATATATTTTAAAGTTGTCGCGATAACGTTCCTCTGGACGTCTCACTAGTATGTGACGTCACACGACTGTCATTAAAACGTCAAACGGTACATTATAATGTCACTTTGATCGGAAGTTTACTAGCGTGTGACGTCATTTTGGTCTTCGCCAATCCCAGACGTTCTCTGTCACGTGACCATTGATCAAGAAGATCATTTTCTATTTAATGATTTTTCAGAAATGTGATTAATTATTTGTGCTATCAGAATAGTGAAATCGGTGCTAATAATCATATTGAATACTAATAGTATATATTCCTACCACACCAGCCATCATGTTCATCATCGGCTTACTAAGAGCCCTTTTACAAAATTGCGCGCTGTCGTACTGATCGGGGCGTAGGTATATTTGCACTAGTATATATTGCATTTTATGGGTGATGTTTCGAGTCTTATAAAATAATTATTAATGAACTAATTATAAAAATATATAGGTACATATTTCAGTAGTTCAATGATGTTAGATTAGTTTTATGAAGTTTTTGATAGTAATTCTATTTAATTCAATATCAAAATACGAGGTAAACCTGCATTGTTTTTTGGGAAAATTCACGGAGGTTAGATGTTTTTTTTTGATAATTAATGAGATGCAAATCAATTATGTTACAACAAAAACATATTTCTGATGTCGTAGTAATTAATTTGATTTAATCTATTGAACATTATTTAGAGAATTAGGCTTCTGAGGTTGTGCATATTATCGTTTTTTCCGTAAACTAGCTGCGGTAGAACGATCAGTACAAAAAAAAATCTACCTACTGTTTACTTCTATTGGAAATAGTCAAAATATTTTCTAAGGGGGTAAACGAGGCGCTCAAAAATTACGATTATTTGCAAAAAATGTGAAAGGGCTCTTAATGTCCTCACAGCTGGGGCCTTCCCTATAGACGGGGTAGGGAGATTGGGCTATGCATTATCCACTACGCGGGCCCAGGGCATATTGCTGGGTGTTGACGACTGGATAAATCACAGCGTGAATCGTTAACTAGTCATATTCATTAAATCGACGACCTCCGTGGCCGAGTGGTTTGTACGCCAGTTTTTATGGTGTCGCCTACTTGAGAGGTCCCGGGTTCGAATCTCGGTGCAAGCAGATGTTTGGGTGATGAATACGAGCATTTGTACTCCAGTCATGGATGTTTAATGTATTTCTATAAAAATATACTTATATATGTACAGTATTTGTATTCTATCCGTTACCCTAGTATCGTATAGTACAAGCCTACAGTGCTTACTTTGGGGCTAGGCTAATAGGCTAGTTGACTCATGTCGAATTGTATTAAATAAATGTTTATTTCTTAAAGTATTTGGTCTAAGGAACCTAAATATATCGATTTCACTTCATAAAAGCAGTAGATTGCTGTAGAAATTTAATTTAAAAAAATATTTTTTAGTATATATTTTAAACACTAAAAACGCTGTTCACCACATCCGCCATGATTTTGACGTCTCTTGTGGTAAACAAACAACTGAATGTCATTCGCGTGTTACTGTTGGAGGATTCTTTCGTCTGACTAATTTATCTTAAAACATTTTTAACTTTACTTTTTTTTTTGAAAGAAAAAAACAGTAAACTTAGTTTTTTTTGACAAAACTAATTATGGATGCCGGCTTTGTGAAAGCAGAAAGCACAAATCTGCCAAGAATTGACGCATTGATGGTTGGTGAATTTGTTGCACTAAACCCCGATTTCTGCTCTGCGGAGCAGAGAAACGACAAGGCATCTATGTAAGTACAGTGCATTTAGTATTACAATGTAGTAATAAACATAAAACTGATACAACATATGAATAAGTGTAATAAAGTTGCGTAGGTTAATTTCTTTCGGCACTTTAATCCACAACTTTCCTGGAGTCTTCAAGGATGTGTTTTTATATTCTCGTACAATACAATACAGTAATGATAATTACTTTATTTTTCGTGGTATTTATTAGAAATCATGTTTTTTTTTATTATAAACTCAGTTATAAGTAATTTTCTACGTGTTTACGAGTTTTTGTTTACCACAGTTCACGTCATAGCATAGATAATCTATAGACTAAAATGGCCGACAGCGTTTTTGTATGTCCATGAAAAGTCTATTTTAAAATTAAAGATTTGTAGCTTTCTAGGTTTAAAAAAAATACAATACATTTTTTTTCGGTCTAATAGAACATTTGTTAACCATTTAAAACCTTTTTCCAAAAAGGGTCAACTAGCCTATTGGTGTAAGTGTTGGAAATATTTATTTATTTATATATATTTATTAAATATGATCACTGTGTTCCACAATTGATGAACATCATGTTTCAGGTAATAATTCAAGGATTATATTGACAGAAGAGCGAGGCTGTTGAATTTGATCAGAGACTAAGATATAGTATATTATGTTACACTACACAGACTGTAGTAGGTACTATGACAAAAATCTGTTTTAATTATTATTTTTAAGTATATTTATATTTCAAATGTTATAACTAGATAATACGTTGATTTCACGTAACAGGGTACAAATTATATAGTACTATAGAGATATAAATATTATTGTTTAATAATATTATAATTAGTTTGTTTAGATAAAAAGGGTATATGTTACCTCTTATAATCAAATGGGCAGGTTATATTGCAGCTAATGCAATTGTAAAACTGTCAATAGAATGTGAATGGATAGGTACTAATATTTTGGGTTGAAGCAATTTCATCATCATCATCAGCCTATTAATGTCCCCACTGCTAGGGCACAGGCCTTCCCTATGGATGGAATAGGGAGATTGGGCCATGACCCACCACGCGAGCCCACAGCTGATTGGCCACACCTGATCTATATCAATACGTTAAATAACAGTTGATAAAATATAAACTTTCATAGGTATACAAGTAACATATATTTTGAGGGTTAGACAAAGCATCAAAGCACCCAATGTAACAGTTTCTACAATATTAAAATAAACGATGATTTTTAAATAATATAAAGTTGTATTTAATGTAAAATATAAAGTTGTAATTCACCGTTTAGTGGGGGGTGACTATGATCATAAAGGCTGGGGTACATTAGGAGACCTAGGGAAGAGAAATATTACGATATGGCACCCTAAGTAACAAAGTGATTGTCCTAAGGAATACTTACTATACTTCACTAGTCAATTATTTATAGTCATCATGACCAAAAATAGGTAGGTAACGTATCTAAACCCAATTTTGTTGTACGAAGATGCAATTTTTTGTAATTTTGAGGGTAAAATTAGTCATTATTTGAAGTTACTTTAAAATTCTGTCAATTTATTTATTAAAGTACTCGTCTTGTAATGCTGCATACATGTTGCACACCACATTAAATAATAATTATTTCCTCTTTAAAAGTTTCTGCAGTGTATAATTTTCGAAAGATAATAATAAAAGTAATAAATAAAGAACAAAAAAATATATTGTTGAGTGTGTGCCATTCTTTAGTTTTATTTTCAAAATTCAATTGTATTTATTTATTCACTTGTGTACAATTGAACAAGTTAGTTGTCTACATGTTTATCGCTTAAATAATATTCGCTTAACTTAACAGAATAATTAAGCGACTTCTACATTTTTACACTAAAGAATAAAATTACGATTCATAAATTATACCCATTTAGATTTGATATCTTTCATTTCTTTACCATTGGACCAATAACGTAGCTTACGTGTCAACATTACATTTTATAGTTAATAAAAACCCCAAATGTCGAATATTAGATGACAATAAAATCCACGAAATAAAAGATTTGATGGTGTAAGGTACTGGCACCAATGACCGGCAAGATCCAGTGATCGACATTTTTTGAAGGAAGGGCGTGGCCCCTAGCTAGTGTAGCAATCATTACACCGCGTCGATCACCCTAGATCGGGTCCCTAACTCATGTTACACCACACTTCAAGTCACAGTCAAGAAAAGGGTCCCTTAAAATTGGGTAGTGTAAATGCCGTCTTAGTGGGTCGCTAACTATAGACGCTCGGTGTTACCATATTAAGTGAATGGTTTCATTAATCACAGAGGGAAGTGTCAGTCATTGGTGCAACTACCTTAGGTGCTTTTCGCACACGCACATATGTAATAAAAAAAATGTTTACTGTGGCGCAATTACATTTGGCCGTTAGCTCGGGTGCACGGAATACATTACTCGAAACCCGAAGCAATGTTTATACTGGAATACGGGCTGGAAGACGATGTTGGGTAAACATAGGGCTGCCATCCGTCCGGGTTTCCCCGGATTTGTCCTAGTTTACGGAGCGTCCGGGGAGCGTCCGGGCGGGGTTTCATTTTCGTCCGGTTTTAAAAATTTCCTGTTTTGGGTTGCCAATTAATCCGTCAATTTAAAAGTCTTTGAAAATGAATAAATCTATTCTAACAAAGATCAGCTTTCCTTGGTGCTGCAAGTGTCCATGGGCAGCTGTGACCACTTATTATGAGGTAGACCGCTAGCTCTTTTACCTACATCAACGAAAAAAAGTTGATTTGTGACATTTTATTGGTCTGTCCGGGTTCTGGGCTCCAAAATCCGGGGTTATCACGCCTCTGATCCTGGTTGCCACATTTTAGAGATGGCAGCCCTAGGTAAACAAAAGGAAATCTACCCGAATTCGGGCGTATTCAACTCCGTTCATTTACACTTAGGCTCGTATTACAGAATGACAACTAGGTGTTGATCTTTGCTTGAGTACAGTA